TCACAAGGTGGAAAATGGGTCTAAATTTGGTAGCATGTTCAGGAACTCCATCAGATTCCCCCATTTCTGGTCACTCTGCTTCACAGCCTCTGTCCAGAGCTGCATGCAAAAGCAGTATGGTGGCAGTTGAGGTTGGGGCAAAAAAGCAGCAGGCGTGGATGCGGAGCCCAAGCCTGACACTCAGAATTATGTGACTTCACCTGAACTCTTGGAATTTGGCCCTCTGATCCCAGGTCCTCAGCACAGTGACCAGGCCTAAAAAAAGTATGTGGTTTAAATATTACCTCATATGTACAGTCCAAGAACAAGCTCCACAAAGAAAGACTTGTTTTACACTACTTATCACAATGAATATGCCAATGTAAAAGAGACTTAAAGATTTTGTATTTAAGTGCAGCTATTTCAATGTGCCTGTGTTGAAAAATCAATAATTGTCTTGCTTTGGTTTTCCTGTCTATTAAAAAAAAATAACTCTAAGGGGATCTGACTAAAGTTTACAGTGCATGCAAAAAATATCTGGAAAAGTGTTTGTGCTTATATTACTGTGGTAAACTTTGGCCTAGGAGTCTGTTACTTACCTGATAATCAAATGAAACAGGATCCCCAGGCAGAAGCAAAATGAGTTGTGCTTTTTGGAAATCTCACGAGAATCTATAACTGGCTAGGAAGGGTAATCGCCATTATTCTAATATGTAACAAGGATGGATGCATCACTGACACACTGAAAAATTTCTCTCTTAGGCCAGCTCAACTCAGCTAGATCTTGGCTACAATGATTCTCCTTGCTTTCCTGCACTGCTTTCCTGAAATTAGGTTTTTTTCTCTGGAGAAGATTACCTGGAGAACTTCCAGCTCTTTCACCTAGAGTTTCCAAGTAAATGCAGCATTTATAAAGGCTATGTACTATGATAAGAAGTAGCTTTTGTCTGTTATTTTCAGCTCTGCAAAATCTTCCCTCTGAAGAGTTTGATGGCAGGTAATCTGGTGGCCACTAGCCTACCACAAAGCCAGTGTGCAAATGCTTCCCAATGTTGCTTGTGGAGAATGATTCATCGTTCCCTTGAATCTCTGGTGATGGAAAGCTCTCTGGCTCACATAACCATTCCAGTGTTGGCTAGCTGTAGATCCACAAAGGGAATGTCTAGTCCCTTTTCCCTATGGAAGACTTAAAATCCTCTTTGGCAGTAAATTACCTTTGGCCATTTTCCATCTCTGTGCCTCATCCAATCACTCAACAGTTCTGCCATCCTGCTCTCCCATCACACCATTGACTATTCCTAGGACTGATGCATTAGCGTTATAGGTCTGACAACACCGAGTCCAGTGGAACCATGGCTTCTCTCTATATCTAATACACTCTGACCAATGGAGAATAAAATCATGTACTTTTTCTTCTTAGTAACTGACATGGAACCACAAGAGTATCAGTTGACTATTTTTCCTGAGATACTATTTGAGCAATTTCAATGACTGTCACCAAAGAGTTAGGGGTACCTAACTTTGTGAAAACTAAAATTACAAATCTCCGTAAGGATAGAAAACTAAGGGAAAGTAAAAACCTTAACCTTGGATCAACTTTTAAAATTCTGTAGACATTTTTCTGTAAAACTGCATCAAATGTGATTTTGGTAGACTACACGGATTTTTCTCACATGATGTAATTCTACGGAGACAAAAAAACATGCAAGTTCACTTTGGCAAGAAAGGAGGCCCCTAAAAATGCCCATAATCGCTTACTCAGCTCCTCAGTGACTGTCATCCCAGGTACTCTGTAGTTGTTTACAGAAACGGGAAAACTTGGGCCACAGTCATTCACTCTATAGTTTCCAGCTTTCTGGCTTTCTTCTCTTAGAAGGGCAGAGGCCAGCAGAGTCACATCTAGTCAAGGAAAACCATCGCATTTTCTAGGAGATACAAAAAGAGTAGTTGAGGAAAGATGTGCATTTTCTTAGAGGGAGACAATTTCCAAAAGGGATGAAACACCAAGATATGTGTGGGGGTGACATAAGCTGCAGGAAATGTGGCCGCCTGCATCAAGCCCATATTTGTTGACAGGTCTGCTCCAGCGAAAGGGCTAGAGCAGTTATAAGATGGAGCCTCTGAGAGACATTCCAGAACAGGTATTTGGCATGCTGGGGGCATCTGGGTACTTTAAACATTCTGTGATGTGACTGCCTGTGTATCAGGAATGAGTTCATGACTAAAGATATTTTGAGTAATTGCCAAGTTGATGGAATTGTCAGAGAGCCAGGAATGAACACTCCTTGAATTGTAACACCCAGAGCTTGAGGTTGCTGGGATCAGAAGGCTGTTCCTTTCTCTGATCTGAAAGGTGGTTTTTTTCAAAATGTTAACTGTAATTGCCAGAAATATACAAGAATGTATTTGTGAAACCTGCAGTCATTATATAATTTTTACAAAGGTGAAGTGATTTGGTATCTTAGAACTAAGACACCCATGAGAAAAACTAAGCTTTATATAGGATCTGGCATCAATCATGAAATATTTATTTGATCATCCACAATGTTCTCATCCAGTGTTAAATTGAGCATGGGAAGTAATATTCAAACAGAAGGCGTGCTTTCTAAATTCAAGCAGCATAAACTCTAGGTAGCGCGCCAAGCCCAACACATTTGAGTCAGTGACCAGATTGACAAAATAGAACAATGTATAAATGTTAAATTGCATAGTATAAATTGTCAATGTTCTAGATGTTCAAAGAAGGAGATGAACAATGAGTAGGTCCTCATGCAGGGCCTTTCAGGGTAGGTATGCTTCAGAGTGCCCAGAAGACAGTAAAGAATTCCAAGTGGATGAAGCCGTGAGTAGGGGCTTGGAGAATGAGAATGATCTAGGTGAGTAGAAATGAGATTCAAGCTGGATTTTTGGTCTTTAAGTACTTTCAATCCTAAAAGGAAAATTAAGCACGAGTGTGTGTGGTGTGATCAGCAGAACTCTATCAGAACCCACATTTGGACAGTTCTATGTCAGGTCATTGAAGCATTTGCGTATTTTCACAATAGAGAATCTCTAGAAGCATGGCAAAGGAACTCGGTCTAATTAGGCAGGAAACAGCAAGCCAGTAGGTTCCTTAAGCAGAAGAGCAAGGTTTTAGAATGAATATTTAGGGAAGGTTCACCCATGAAATCCTGTGAATATGTATTTTGAAAGGGAGGCTGGGGTCCAGGAAGCCGCTGGAAGTCAGGATGAGTTGTCCAGTGTGGACCATGAAGGAGAGGAGTGAAGGCTGGGAGGCATGGAGAGAGTAGAATATTGGTCCCACGGATCCCCTGGGTAAGTAAGTACTAATTAAAAATTTTTAAGACTGAAGGTGAGAGCTTCTATTAACAGAAGTTGCAGGGCAGGGAAGATGATGAATGTGGTATCATGACTTGGAGGAAATCCAGTTTAAAAGACACAGTTTTGGGTTAACAGTTCCGTGATTTAGGTCTGCCATTATTCACTTGCAAGTGTAAACAAACAGAATTCTTCCGTTGTCACTGAGATCCCATTGCATAAATTTCTATGTCTGCTTGTAACACATGTACACACACACTTTTTCTGCAGTTGAGCTTTAGAGATGTATTAGAGTTCAGATAAGTCGAGAAGAATGAGGAAGGACCCTCCAAACACAGAGGCTGACATTAACAAAGATAAGTCATAAAACAAGGAGAGTAAGTATAGGGCAGAAGGAGAACAAGACTAGAAACCCAGCTCAGTATTATTAGTTCACCTTGTGACGTCTTCTCTAACCGTCCCAGTCCAGGAAGACCGCTCACTACTCTGAGCTGTTCCACTAAAATGGCACTTAAAACTTATTCCCTAATGTTTTGTGTAAAACATTCAGCATTTTTTAGATAAAGTTTTAGTAGACAAGAATAAGTCTAACTCATCCTTATGCTTCATAGAAATGTATGCTCAATAAAATATTTGTTGATTTTTAAAAATAATTTGGGTTTCTTATTGTGCTGTCAGGTGACATTAAACAATGTAAACAGGACATAAACTTCCTTCCTTCAGAAAACAATTAACATGTGAAAACAGGCTTGGGGTGTGTAGTGATTGTCATTATTTTGGCTCTCCATCTTATGTTTGAGAAAGTCCCTGTTTTTTGAGGCTGAGCTCACCTCCCGCTGTAGAAGCTACAAAGGCAGCATGACCCTTTCTCACTGCACCTTGCAGTTCGGTGTGGTATGCAAATAGGACACCCCTGTGGCATTTGGGAGGGTAGGCCCCTGTTTTTGTGTTGGTTCTCCTGTTTTTCAAGTGTTTTGGAGAGCCACATAATATTCTTTCAGTTAAGTTTTCTCTTAATTTTTCCAGAGTCATTTTCCCCTTTAAATTAAGAACTGGGAATTCTCCATCTATGAGCATTTTCTGTAGAAATAGGCTTGGTACATTCTCATTCTTCATTTGGGCTTCATTGGGCTTTACCCTCTCCAGCAAGAGAAGTGTAGCTGAGTTCGCAATCTAGGAATAGGTTCACACTGGCCTGGATTTGCCCTTTGACAGCATCCTTTCAAGAAGACATAACTCGACTCTGCTACCTCTTGTTCTTGGAAATGGAGCAAGCTGCCACAGCCCCACGTGTCAACAGCAAGCATGATTCCAAGGCGGTCATGACACCCCAGGTTTGCTCAGGGTCAATCCAGCTGGAAATCTTCATCGGGAAGGACCCCAATGGAACACCCACTGTATGACACGGACATGAGGAGACTGTATGGGAGACGGGAAGAGGACTTCCCTCTGCCCCCAAGAAACATCTGTTTATTCACTTGTTTGCTCATTCTCTCAATAAATATTTATTGGACGCTTGCCTACTAGGTAAAGGGACACATTCCTGGACTTAATGAGTTTGTGGCTTGGCTGGGAAGATTTGAAAGCAGTCAAAAATAGGAACCATACACAACAAAGTCATTAATGTAATAGACTAGTAACAAAGTAAAGTTCAAAGGGACATAGGAGCAAAGTTCACTTGGGCAGTCAATATGTGCTTCAAAGTAAGGGACTACTGCTTTGTCTAGTGGGATGAATAGGAATCAGTGGAACATTCCAGGCATTGGGAAAGATCTGTGCAAAGATCCAGAAATATGAGGTGAGTGTGTGTGCCAGTGATTCACTGTGGTCAGAAGGTAAGGAATCTGAGAGGGGGAAGTAGGAGATGACAATTTGGCTTTATACTGGAGATGATGGGGACCCACTGAAGGATTCTAGCAGTAATCTCCAACTTCTTTCTTACTTAAATATTATTTTTTAGAAAAGCTGAGTGTTAACTCATATAATATATGTAGTACAGAATACTGCCTGGTACATCAGAGGCATGCCACATTTAGTAAGCTCTTATATTTTTTGTAATAAGGGCACATGAGCTTCAGACTTGTTCTAGGTTCTCTTGTAGCTCAGTCACCTTTTTTTAGGAAGGCCAAAGTTTTGTCCCTCTTACTAGTGTTTTTTCTGGCTATAAGCCAGGTTCGAGCCCATCCATCTACCCATAGGACCTCCCTTGGCTCAGCTTCATGGGAGCTGATGAGAATATCAGTTCCCACGTTGTCACTGGCATCTTTCATATGCCCTGCATTCACAGAGGACATTACCACCTTGCAAATCACTGATCTTATTGTTGGGAGCCGGGACTCTTTTCTTTCATGTGTTGGGAGGATGGGTGAGGAGCTGTGTGGTGAGGGTGGCTGAGTGGGCAAAGGAAGATGAGGAAATTCAGCAGAGGCAGGGAGTGTACATAGCCATTTGCTAAAGAGGGTAGTATTGTGCAAGAGAACCAACTATTTTTAAAGGGCATCTCTTCATGACAATGCAGGACAAAAATCTCTAAAGTTTATTTGGAAAATGTGAAATAGTCAAATTTACTCACAAACCTAGTACATCTTCCAGCTAAGACTGGGCGGTGATAGGAGGCAGCATGGAGAAAGAAAGAAAAGGAGAAGAAGCCCAAAAGTGGGAGGAGAAGAGGATGGCATGGGGAGAAGGAGGAGAGCTATGAGTTTACTGTGTGATCAATATTTTTAGAACTACTGGAAATGACTAAGTATAACTCTTCTGCAACCTTATTTTAAAAGCTGCTTCCATGACACTGTCAGTTATCCCTAAGCATGGTCAGACAACAGACAATCCAGAGTCCAAGAAATCTATTTCTGCCAGAAGCAAGACAAACAATAAAGCCTTTAAGGAAAAATAAAACTACTTTGCATAAATAAATTGACATTTGCTTATGAGTGCATATATTCAATCACTCTACAAAAAAATAAAAAATGAATTTAAAGGCGGCTATTCCAGTGAAAGTCACAAAGGGGAAAAAGACCGTTAAAGTTTGAAAACTACCAGCAGCTCTTTATTGCTGAAACACAAGGGACAAGTCATGGAGAGGCAGGGAGTGAAGTATTGTCTCACGGTCCCCAGTCTAACACTCTGAAGGGAGATCTGAGTCAGGGTCCTCTTGAAGGGATCTTAGTAACCAGGTCACATGATAAGATTTCTATTCTAGGGTGATCATCCCATTAAGGGGGCTGAGCATGTTTGGAGGAGTCGCTCATGGAGGTAGGCAGGTCGCTTGCACTCTGTTGCAAGTCAGGTGGATAACTCAGCCTTAGCCCAAGTGTCACCAGTGGAGCAGATAAGGACATAATGACCAAATAGAGGCTGGCTGGGGTGAGCAATTAATGGAAGGATGTTGCTGACAAGGCAGGAGTTGTCCAGGACGCCTCCCAGAATCGCCAGGCAACCTATACCACCAATTATCCAATGGGGAAGATACTGAGACCTGTGGATTTGGCAGAAGGAGAAATGATGACTTCCTTTCTGGACAGGAACTTTTAAGTATCCAGTGTCTCTATGTAGCATACTTTCAGAAATCAAGTATATAGGCAACAGCTGAAATCTTGGAATATTAGATTAAGTCCTCAGAGAGAACCTATGAAGATTCAAGCCTGAAGGCAGAGTCTCCTGAGATGCTATGCTGTAGGGCCATCAAGGAAAGACGAGTCTACGCAAGATCCTAAAAGGAAGCCAGGAGAGAGAAAGATGTCCCAGACACAAAATAGGAAAGCATCTTATCAGTGAAATGGTGAGATGGGTCAGTAGCTGTGGAAAGGTCAAGTAAGGTAAAGACCAGGAAAATATCGTGTCATTATGACAGAAGGTCTCTAGTGAGCACGGATTACTCTGCAAGAACAGATGTGGACGGGGAGGGGCTGCTCATGCGGAGAAGGAAAGGGGATGGCAAGTCCTTTCCAGGAGAGAGAAGCGCCTGCACGAGGGAGATAAAGGGCCCCTTTCACCCTCGGAGGAGGCAAGACCGTACTTACTAGCTGATGGGGAAGGACTGATAGAGGACTGGATGGGTGCAAGGTCAAAGAGAGGGAGGATACGAAAGTAATCAACAGGTAAGATAGTAGAGGAGATGGGAAGTCCAGAGCGCAGGGACAGGGAAAGGCTTTTATTGAGAGGTGGGGTACCTCCTGGCTTGAGGAAGCGAGGAAAGTGTTAAACAGGGGTAGAAATCTGCTTACAATGTGTGGTGCTCACAACACTGAGGGTGCCCACATCTGAGAGGCAGGTTGGCTGAGGGAATGCTGGCCCCTGGGAAGTGGCGTGGGGATGAAAGGGGAATCCAGTCATGGTAGAGGATGTTTGAGAAGGACAGTAGACCCTGTGGAAGCTAGGAGGCTGAAGTGCAGTGCATCCATCTACGTGGAGTTGGGAAACCCTAAGCCAATACTTAGCCACTTCCCTATAAAAGCAAGGAAGGCAGAAATTTGGACTATTTCAGGTTGGGTGAAAATCCTCTGTATCCAGGAATTCTGAAACTGGGGCACCTGATACAGTCCCTTACACAAACAGTGATTTCTCATTGTCCATTTGTAAGGAACGTAAGTTAAATACATGGAGACGATATTAGGTAAAAGTACATAAAACTGGAGTAGACATTGATGTAGTATTTAGAACGTCTTTACCCTGTAGCTCCCCATAGCCAAATTTATACTTAAAAAAAGAGAGAGAGAGAGAGTGAGAGAAAAATCAGGTTCCCAAAGCAAACCACTAAATAACTTTAGCAGAAGAGTCTTGCTTTTCGATTTCATTGCACTTGTTAAAGTAAACAGATCACTTTAAGGATGGGTTAGATAGATAGCTAAGGAGGTGGCCAACTGTTGTCTCAATTATCCTGAGGGACAGGGGTCTGGAAAACTGATGACTAATACTTGGTTTAGTAAATCAGCAAGCTCGGGAGCCTGGCTGTGAAGTCTCAGGGCAGTGATATGTCTCTCTGTGTGTGCGTGCACATGCATGTAAAACAGCCAGCAAGTAAATTTCTCTGAGACATATCCCTTTCAACGGCTTAAGAGATTCTGCAGGAATCAATTAAGCCCTGCATGTTTTCCACCAGAGATGAAAATCTTGCAAGTTAATACTTTTTAGGCTTCTTTAAGAAAAAAAAAATAATATGCAGAGCTAGGATTCCATTTACTGGTTTTCATTCACATCAGACTTTCCTTTTGAGGTAAACACCCTGTATGCTGAGTACTGGGCATTATGAGCCAAAAATAAAAAGTTTTTTATTGCCAACATGTCCCTAGCAAACCTTAAGAAGGTGCTAGAATGAAGGAATTCCTGATCATGAATACCTCCAAGAATGTAAGGACAACTCAGGGTTCACTGTTGGCTGTTTTTTCTCTTGAGGATGATCTCCCAAAGAATTCAGATAATCTGTCTTGTGGTTAGGTTTCTTGAAGTTGTATTAAAGTTTTACAGACAATCTGCTTATTCATGAGTTATATATTTTCTCATTAGACTTTCATTATCTATGTTAAAATAAGACAGCAAAATCTCATTCGAATGCCATTCCAATTTGAGACATGGAAAAACTCTTTGTGGTGTCTCAGATTTACAATCACAAAATTAAGACTGTAAAGGGAACTTTGAGATCTTCTAGACTAATGGTTTTCCATCACAGTGACAAGACTCACACTGTTCAGTCATGACTAAAAGAGCAAACCAAGAATCCTTCAAAAAAAGATAAATGTAATTAAATATAAATGCATTATAAATGATGTGGAAGAAATCATAAACAAAGTTTAAAATACAAACTATAAACTAAGTAAAATATTTTCAACACATATGGCAGATAAAAGATTTATGCCTATAATATACAAAGAACACTTACAAACAACTCAATAGTAGGCAAAGAATGTGAATAGGCTCCTTATCCAAAGGTCAATAAACATATGAACAGATGCTCAAGTTCATTGCAGGTCAAAAAAATGACAATAAATGTCATTTCTCACCTACCAAATTGGCAAACATGAAAAAGAGTGGGAACCCACTCTGCTGACTGGGATGTGAAGAAAGGAGTTCATTCATATATTGCTGGGAAGAACAGTCTGCAAATGCCTATTAAGAGTAAAAGCACATGCATTCTTTGACTCAATAATCCCAACCTTGGGAATCTATTCTGTAGAAATGAAAGTGGATATTAGAAATATTAGTACAAAGTATTAATTACAGCATTATGGATAGTGCTGAGAGACTGCAAAGTGAATGCTCAAACACAGGAGAATAAATAAGGAATTTGGAGAATATTCATACTGTAGGACATTTTCAAGATGTTAAATAGAATAAATGAGATCAATATAGTTGATCTGACAACTTTAAGTGGGAAAAAAGGCAAGAAGCCAGGAAGTATATATAATGCAATACCATTTTGAAAAATAAAGACAAAACCTTTGTTTATACATGAACATACAGTGTATAAACTTTGGTATGTGATTATGTGGACATGAAGATAGATTTACAGAAGAGTACTTATTGGGTTGATAATACTAATTACACTCAGGTGGAATGAAAAGAAGTAAAAAAGAACTCCCCAAAATATCAATATTAATGACACATAAAATACTTCTCTAGTATAATTTAGTTTGTGTAAAAGTATATGCCCGGGATAAAAGTGTAGTGATGTGTAAAAGAGTGGCCACTGAATGTTGAATGTGGGTGAGATCTAGGCTATTTTAACTTCCTTATATTTTTTCATATCTTACTTAATTTTTATAACCATAATGGAGAAAATGCATATTCCTAGTCCCCACG